TCCAGAGCATCTTTGTTTCCATTTTCCCCCCAGTCCTCTTCCTCTCATTTAGCCAGTGGCTGTGAGTAATTCCCAGGTGGAGAGAACAGTCATTGTTAGGCGGCTCTTTTGGCCTGAGGGTTTGGGGGTGTGTTGATGTTTGTCGGTTACTATGACTTCTTTTTTTTCCCCCCTCAATTGCATCAAACCCTTAAAACATGGTGGTAAGTGAGCGATATGCATGCTTTTGGAGTTTGTTTAAATCTCCGCTTCAGTCTATATGATGCACAGTTCATATGTTAACACTTTTCTTCAAGTTACTTCATTCACTTTCACAACTAATTTGGATTTCAGTTTGCTGTTTAATCCTCATTTACTTTGATTTTTGTACCTTTTTTCTGTAGCTCTGTTCTTTCCCTCTCTCCTGACTTCCCTTTTAGGGGTCAAGTCATTATTTTGGTATCTATCTACCTACCTACCTATTTATTGTATGACCTATAAAGGAGAGTGGTGCTGCACTTAGTAACTCAGTGCAGGAGAGAAGGGAGACAGGAGGCTCTTTGTTCTTTGTCAGTGTGAAAGTGAATCTGGGGAGACTTTGAGAGGGCTCCTGGGATTTAGACCCCAGTGTGGAATCATGGCTGCTCCATTCAGAGGCATGGCAGCTATGCCAGAGGCACTGTTGCTGAAATACCTACATGTAAGCCCTTTGCATGTTACTATCTTGTTAGGTTGGAAAGTGACATTTCTAATCTGGCACCAGAGAATACCCTCCCACCAAAAAAGAGAGAAAGAAAAAAAGCCTGTGTTCTGAGGTGCTTGGGTTGGTTGCCTATAGTGTCATGCTTTGAAAAGAATAGTGGCTATCGTGATTCTCCCTTCCCTTTTTTATTTTAAAGTTGGGACTAAATTGGTGATATATTCAATTTGGTTTCCTTGTATTAGAATTTTGTATTTTGGGATGCACATCTAGAGCACTAAAAATACTTTTAAGTTGCTCCTGTGTTGTCTTCAAATCCCTGAGGTGCTTAGCTCCTAGCATGTAGCTTAGCTGGCTTGGCTGGATGCTGAGCAGTAGGCTGTCGTGAGGGAAGGGTTTAGTTTGGGCTTGTGTGTCTTAGTACTTGGTATGTCTTTGTATCTTTCCACTGCGCACACACACAGCACACATATGTCTTGGGTGTCCTGGAGTCATATGTTGTTTGCTGTACCTGTTTTGATAGTGTACTGTTGTTAGTAATGGACTCCTGTGGACACTGGTATGTCACTAGCCTATTGTTTTGGCTTATGAGTCATTGGTTTGTGGTTGGTTCTTTTTTTCTTTCTTTCTTTCCTTTTTTTTTTTTTTAAATCCTTTTTTTTTTGCTCCAGTCACTTGTGTGTGCTGGCGGTGGCTTTGCCTCTCCGTTGCCTGGAAGGAACAGGTGGAGCAATGTCTCCCTCTGACAGACATTACTCCCAACATGTGCTCCTGCAGATGCCTACACTGAGATTGTAACCTCCATAATTGCTTCATGTGCACCAAGCCCCCTTGTGGAATCCTGCTGAGAGTTTTTCTAGAACCCTTCAGCAAAATCAAACTGTTCGGAATCATTTAGGAAAAACAAACTAAGAGCACTTACTTGTTTCCCTCCCCTTTGTGGATTTAAAAAAAAAAAAAAGTGTATATCTTGTCTTGAAAGGGATCAAGTTGCCCTTAGTTGAAACATGAAAGAAAGCCTAATGAGAACCATAAAGTATCAATTTGAAAAGGCTTCTGAGCTCATATAAGCCTTTTGATTTAAAAAAAGATATCTTCTGAGTGTTCTGGTTTTGGCCAGGGCACAAGAGTGAGCCAGTCTTTCTATCTGACCTCTTTTCTAGAGGGATGTCACTGTTCAGCTCTCCCTGAAGTGTCTCAACATCCTCTGGTATGCATATGCTAATTGCTGGCATAGTCCAGCATGGCTGACTCAGCATTAGCTTGAACTATGATGGCTTCCTCTTCTCAATCTCCAGACTCAAAGACTCTCCTAAAGATTCCAAAAACAGAAAAACAGTGCCATTTGGGGAAGTAAGGATGTGTGGCTAAACATATAGGATTTACACATCCATTTACATTGCAGGATTGAACCAAAACTGCATGCATTCACCACAAGAAAACAAACAGCAGGATTTTACAACTGAAATGTTGGTTTGTCTTCTCATCTATTTAAGAGTGAACCACTGGAACTTGGGGACAAGATGAGTATAATGATATTTCAGCCTGTCTGTCCACTACAGTTGCAGTTTTTCATGACAAGCATTCAAAGTGTTAACTAAAACCATTGAAACAACATACCTGCCATTAAAACTTGAATCTAGAAATAACAACTCCATGAGTGTTTTGCACCTCCAGATGGAATGGCCTTTAATAAATGCTATGAATAGCCATGTCTGCTACTTGCAGTAAGCTATCCTATTAATCCTTATGCAGAATCTAACAATTTTCTTCTTTCTCTTATTTTTCGTGGATTTATTAAAAATTGAACACCCATATAGATGATGAACCAGCTGGGCCAATGTAAGTACTTTATTGGACACTGACTTTTAATAGTTTCTGATTTAATTATCTTGTGTTTACAGTTTTGTCAAATGGAGTAGCTAAATTCTTAGGGGAAGACAGTGAGTAGAAATATCGTTGCTACATAGACTTCTTAACCAGACAAAGACTGCAGACCATTTTGATTCCCAGGGCAGGTTGCAATCTTGTTTTTTAGCGATGCAGGTGTATTAATGTGCAAAAAGTTGTTAAAATTTTGCACGTTACGCATGCTTAATATGAGAGGCCTAAAGTTTTAAGTTAATTTCAATCTGGATTATAAGATAGCATGGATCAACTGGTTAGCTCCATTAACAATTACTGCTATCCAAGAGAGATGGAGCTGCAAGTGTAGGATCAGTCCAAGTCTGGCAATCTATCTTCGAGTTAGGGACTAAGATGTAAGTATTTAGTTAAATGACTGAGGGTACAGAACAGCCAGTTGATGGTTATCTTTTATCAATTGAAAAATAACAGGAGTGCAGTGAAGTAAATGTTACTCTCACTTTTATAGTTCTGAAATATAGTTTAGAAATCAAAGGGCAAGCTGTCTATATGTTGTCTGCCTTGGGAGTCAAAGAATCTATTAATTGAAGTTATGTAGGAACTTTTTATAAGGTATATTGTTACAAACTAATATTGTGCAGTAAAGTTTCTTCTTACACCAGGGATGGCAGTAAGTGAAAGAGTCCCTGTATTTCCATGTGTTTCAAACATTGTTACTAGTTTAACTCATAATGCAATTTTTCCTCCAAAGGAAAACCAACTCTACCAACAATCACAAAGATAAAAACTTGCGCCAGAGAAACACAAATTAAGTACTGCTTATAATGTAAGTATGGCCTTCTAGAAATTTAAAAAAATTATATTCAATTGCATTTTACCTCTGTTGACCTTGTTACAAATTCAATAGTTGGTGTTATGTGGTAAGACCTTTTAAGTTCATTTCAGAGCAGTTGGTTCTGCTGAAACAAGTTCTCTGCTCAATTTAGTGGCAGAAAGGAACATTTTTCAGCTTTTACATAAATTCCATTTCAGAATACATACGATGTTTCAAAATAAATACTTTGCACTACTTGGTTTATATCTTTAAAAAAGAGAAAAAGAGTAAATTGTCACTTTAGGCAAATTGTTCCTAGAGGCCTGTTAGTGCTGCTTTACTTCTGAGGGCAAGGACAGGGACAGTGGCCAAGAAGCAACAGGGCTGGATACCATTCTCTTAGGCACATGGATATCAGAATTTCACACCACATCCCTGAGCATGCTGTTTGAATCAAAATTTATTTTATGTGGGGCTTGGTATAGTCCTGAGGGAGAGTGCATATTCCCTTTAATTTCCAAATACATTTTTTCCCCCCACAGATCTTTAGGTTCCTGAAACTGGTGGCATCATGACCTGCTAAATTTTCTGCTTGGACCTCTTTGGTCTCCCTTTTCAAAGTGAGCAGCACCACAATGACCGTCTAAAGCATGCCTTATTTAGCCTCTCCTATAAGGGTGACCTAGCCAGGTACATTTTAAACAGTGCTTCAGTGTAGAAGGTGTAAACTATTTTGGGCTTGATGTGCTGTGAATGTTGCTTTCTTTCCTTTGTTAAAATATTTAAATAGAAATGAAAAGGTCCTCTGAGGACCAGATCGTGCATGCGCCATTTTTTACTTACAGCAGCTGTTCAATTGGCAAAGCTCTAAAATGCACTGCTGCCATCTAGTGATACATTTTTGTAAAGTACTCAAAACCTACAGATATATACAATATATAAATATATATATATATATATTTATATTTTTTGGGGTGGGAGAAATCCAAAATAAAATAAATGCTTGTTTCATGTTTAAAATGCTGATATTCATTCCTTATTGTATGTTGTCAGATGAGGAAATGTGCAGTTATGGTACATAAAGATAGATAATTTATAAATTCTGAAGTCTGTAATTTTAAGGGCTTAACCTACAACTTTAATAAGATGATGGAATAGTCCACTGAAAGGATATAATGAATTGCAGTATATATGTATGATTGCTTTTAAGTGACTATTTTTTCTTCTGTTAAATCATGTAAATTCTTAAATCCTTTTGCACTGATGTATTGAACCTTATTCTTGTATATTTGATCAAGGCAAATTTTATAATTTACCTTTTGTTTTCAATGACCTTGAGATGTTATAGCATGGTGAAACTCTATGCAACTCTAGTTATACTTTTTGGTTTGACACTATTTTTTCACATTGATTAATGGTTGATGGTAGATTTTATAACCTGACCAGGTTCTCATGCAGTACGTAACTATAGATGCATGTACTTGTGTTTTGTGTAATTGTTGAAGTACAGTGATGTATTAAAAAAGTGGATTCACCTGTTTTTAACAATAAAACATTGACAAAAGGTGTTTGGAATAATACTCTTTACTATCTTTAACTTTTTAGGAGAAAGCATTTTTCAATACTTTGGAAGTTCCTTAGGTTTATGCATTTACATAGAACATTAATTTCTTAACCCCGTCAGCTTTTTAAGTTCCTTTTCTACCTCATCCACAAATGCTGGGAAGTTTTGATCCATGAGGCACAAGCGCAGAAAGGGGCCCAACTCTTCCACACCCCAGGCAGACTGTTCATAGACAAGGGGCAGCTCCTCCGATGCCAGGATAGACTGCAGGGATACCAGAAGAATAGTTTATTATAGGAGAAAAAGTAAACCCTGAGTAAAAAAACACACATACCAAAGAATTAGTTGTTAGCTTTACAAAGAGATAGTTCTACTGTTAAATTCACCATTTTGTATTTATAATTTCCTGAATACATAGCAAATAAGATTATATCCTTAAGGAAAGTATTTCAGACATGTTGTTCAAATGATCTGTAAAGTTGAGATCTTGCTAATAAATACTGTGTTGATATTGTGTGGACTGACAAGAAACCTATCAATGGATATAGTTCTCTAGCTTAGTTCATCTTCCCACCACATAGGTGGCCAAATGGGTGGGAATAGTTCATCATGTGGAAGCTAGGTTCTGAAGGGAAGAAAGAAAGGGTACAAACTGAATGCCCAAAGGACACAATTAGCTCACACATGCCATTTTTCAGCTATATAAGGGATTTGATAAATAGTCAAAACAAAATACAGAACATTTCACATCCCCCAACATTCCCTCTTTTTTGTCAAACCCTTAATATAGGTAACCACTGATCACCATACCTTATAGTTTTGCCTTTTCTAAAATGGCATATACTCTAAATGAAATCATAGTACGAACAGTACCTGCCTTACTCTGGGTCAGCTTACAAATTTTGTACTTCATGATGATAAATAATGTAATACATGTTAAGTAGAAATTGTACTTCACATTTTGATCTCTACCCAGGCAGTGGTAAGCAGTGAGCTGCAGCTCCCCATCACTCATAGAATCACAAGGGGAAACCACCAACATTCTATAGTGTACAGTAATGTGTTCTGTAGATTAGGTATACTAAATGCATTTTTGACATAGGATATTTTCAATTTACAATGGTTTTCTCAGGATATAACCCCATTGTTAAGTTGAGGAGCATCTGAATGAATCTGTCTTCTTTCACTTAGCATATGCATTTGAGATTATGTTAAGTATATGCAGAGTTTATTTCTTTTTATTGCTAAGTATCTATTGTTTGGATGTACCAGTTTGCTTATGCACTCTCTGATTGAAGACTGGGTTGTTTTGCTTTTTGCAATTATGAATAAAGCTGCTATAAATGTTCATATACAGGTTTTGGTGTGAACACAGGTTTTTATTTCACTTGGGTAAACACCTAGGAGTAGGACTGCTGGTCATATGGTAAGTATATATTTAACTTTGTAAGAAACTGCCAGACTGTTTTCATAGTGGCTATATCATCAGTAGTATTCCTGTTCAATTGTTCCTCATCCATCCAGCACTTGGTGTTGTAAGTTTTTAATTTTAGCTGTTTTAGTAAGTATACAGTGATATCTATTGTGATTTTAATTTGCATTCCCCTAATAACAAATAATATTGAGCATCTTTTCATGTGATTATATTACATTTGTATGTTTTCTCTGGTAATTTGTAGTGTTTTAAAACTAGTTGAGTAGCCAAGCACATTGGCACAGGCCTGTAATCCCAGCCACTCTGGAGGCTGAGGCAAGAGGATTAGAAATTCGAGGCCAGCCTCAACAATTTAGGCCCTAAGCAACTATGTGAGACCCTGTCTCAAAAAGGGGGGCGGGGTGCTGGGGATATGGCTCAGTAGTTAAGTGCTCAGTTAAGTGCTGGGCTCAATTCCTGTACTCTGCCCTACTCCCCTCCCCCCAAAAGAAAACCAGTTGAGTAAATTGCCAGTGTTATTAGGAGAGTTTAAATAAAATCTGACTGTGCTTGATAATTGGAAGATCTGGCAATTCTGAACCCCTGTGGTGATAATGGTGGGCTCCAACTCTGTTGGGAGCTGCTCTTTGATTTAGTTATTGTATTGATTCTTCACATTAATCCTCTGAGGTATGTGGTTTAATTCCTTTTATATGGATGGCATGATTTAGTGCATAGTGTACAATTGACATTTCTCTAGGAGCTATAATAGAAATTTACTTTGCTAAAATTCATATCAGCTTTTCATTCTACCTAAATTTATATAGAAGAAAATGAAAACAACTTGGAGCCCTATTCACTATTGAGAGCCACTTTTAACATGCCAGTGTATATCCTTCCAAAAGTAGTGATGTGTTTATTACAGAAATGTGGTCATGATGCTGTTTTGTAGTTGTTTGGGGTTTGTTTGCTTTCCTTGTTTCCCTTGTAGTACAAGGGATTAAGCTCTGGAGTGCCCCACTACTGAGCTACATCCCCAGCCTTCTTTTTCTGTTCATTTTTGGTACTGGTGATTGAACCCAAAGGTGCTTTACCACTGAGGAACATTTTTAGCTCCTTTTATTATGAGTGTCACTAAGCTGCCGAGGCTGGCCTCAAAATTGCTGTATTCCCACCTTAAATTTCCTCCATCACTGGGATTACAGGCATGTGCCACTGCTCCCAGCTCCCAGCCCTTTTTTGAGACAAGGTTTCACCTTGCTTTGCTCATGCCTATCTCCTGAGTTGCTGGGATTATACATCAGACTTACAGCCACTTAAAAAAAAAAAAAATGCCTTGTAGTATCTTTCCCTGTCAGTGATAGGGGCAACATCACTATTATTAATTACATTTTAATCCCACCACTTCAGCTACTCAATATCCTATTACATGAACATTTTGTTGTTCCCAATTTGTTAAAAACAACATAATTTCTATTATAGCTCCTAGAGAAATGTCAATTGTACACTATGCACTAAATAATGCCATCCATATAAAAGGAATTAAACCACATACCTCAGAGGATTAATGTGAAGAATCAATACAATAACTAAATCAAAGAGCCAAAAGTTAGCAGCTCCCAACAGAGCTAGAGCCAATGAACCACCATGTATATATTTTTGTGTAGCTGAAATGGAATTATAGGTAATGAAATGTTAAATTGGATATATTTTGCTAAATTGCCTTCTAAAAAGTTTTATCAGTTTACATAGGATCACTTGTCCAAAAGGTTAGAGCAAATTCATAACTGAGTCTCAAGCCCAGCCTCATGCTGTTTCTCATTTGTATATAGTTCTTCTATACTATATAAATAAACTAGGCTACTGATACCTCCTTTGTGAGGACATTACACCCTGCCTCTCTCCTTAACTTTTTGCAGAGTATTATTGGAAACTGTGATTCAACCCCTAACAAGGCCAATATGGACAATGAAGTCTGCCCTGCTGCTGAAAAAATTAGTTTTAAATTTTTGTCACAGTTGTTGGGTTATTAAAAGAAACAGATAAGAAGTCTGTGTCTTTTGGGGGGCAGAGTGCTGGGGACTGAAACTAGGCGTCACATATTGTAAACGCGTATTCTACCACTCAGCTGCACCCCTCAGTCCAAATCTTTTATCCCAAGTTATTTATTTTTTGAATGTCCATTTATTGTGAGTTAGTGGTAAGCCAAATGGAACAAATGCCCATATCTTCTATACCACTGAATATTGAATATTGATGAACTCTATGCAGAATTCTGTGGAAAGCACAAGTTGTTGGTTTGAGCACTTGCTGCCCAGTGCAGCCAAGATGAAGGAGACAGTCTTCAGGGAGCTCCCAGCAGAAAGAACATCAAGCAGTTGTGATTCTGAATGAAGAGGTTTTTGCAGGAGGACACTTTGGTGATAGCAAACTGCAAGAGGTCAGGAACTGTCTGAAAGCAGTCTAGGAAGCTTAAGTGACTCCTACATACCCTTAGCTGAGGTCTGAGCACTCAAGAGTTTGTCCCTTCAGAAACCTCTAGAGATTTAGTTCCACATTCACTTTGATAATTGTTTTAGAACAGTTCCCTTTATTCTTTTTGGGAAAATGGTGATTAAACTTTATATCTGATGTTCAACTCTTTATTTCCTTAGGGCTTTTTTTGCATATGTGCCTTGCTGTCTAATCTCACAATAGGGGTGGCCTGTTTCTGACATTACCTTCTATAATAACGATTTAGGTTTCTGTTGTAGTAAACAGAAATACAAATTCTCAGGGACCATTGCTTTTCATGACAAGAACACAACATAGAAACAGTGTCTACCTGAGCTAATTGCATCACTGAGGTCCTTTCCTCTGCAGTGCCTGTACTGGCTGCCACACACCTCTGCTGTTCCATGTTCTGGTGGGACTAGAATAAAACATGTAGTTAGGAGACTAGACTTAAGACACAGGCCATTGAAGTGGACATACATTCTCTTCAAAAATTCCTAGATATTCCCACTCAATAACTGTTTGTATGTACTCTATATTAGACACTGTGCAATGTGGGGATGGGAGTTAAGGATCAAGCTAGAGATCCTGCACCCTAGTAGCATAAAACCTAGTGAGAACCAAGCAAGGAAGCCTGGTCACCCTGCAGCTCAGCACTGGAAGGGAGGATGTGCTAGTGCTTGTCACAGGAAGGGAAACTGGTGGCTCTGCGGGAATAATGTGAGGAGTCTAGAGGGGCAAGGTCCAGCTGCTGCTCACTCAATGCTTGTCCAGAGACACTTGTGGCAGTTGCTATCTCCAGCCAAGCAGTGTTCTTGCATTAGGTGAGCTAACAATGTGATAGGGGAGGCAGAGAATGCCAGATTCTGTCTTCTGTATGACACCTGCCTGTTGAGAGAAGGTAGAAAATTGGAAGTATCAAAAGAAATGGGGGGACAGAAAGGAAGAAAACAAAACTAGTCAATGTTAAAATGAGCAAAAAGACCAAGGCACTTGATAGAAAGGGCCCATAGACAAACCCTATTTCTCTGTTGAATTTCTTCAGTTTTCTCATTTATAAAAAGAAATTAATATATCTAGTCTTCCAGGTCTAATATTTGAGTTTTCTTAGGATACCTATAAATTCAGCTTGTACACTATTCAAACAACTGAGAACAATGTTACCCAAAATTCTATGCCAAAAACACTGGCCAAGTGGGACTGAAGCCCTTGAGGCTAGTGTGCTCTAGGAAGAGGCAATCCACCCCACCAACTGCAGAGGAAAAGGAGGATTCCTTGTGTCCAACTGCTAGCATCCATGGCCACTTTCTTCTGAACTTTTTATGCTAACAAAGGGAGGAAGTTCACATACAAACTTCAGTCCCCCCCTCCTATCTTTCCTACCTTCTATTCTGGGGTGGGCTGGGTTGCCTCAGGAGCCCTCAGAAACACCTGGTTAGGCCGCAATTAACAAAATTACAAGGCTGAGGAAAAGTAAGAACTACAACAGGAGCCAGGAAATGACTCAAGAACTTTTAAATAGACATGGAATTATCCCTATTTGCAAAGAAGGGAACTATTTTAGACTAAAACATATATAGGTACTGGAAAAATGACACCTGGGTGGCCAGAACTTGGCCACACCTTACAACTCTTCAGGTGGACTCTGAGAAAAGGATCATGACACCAAATGTGTACACTAACCATTAGGGGCCCATCTGAGAATTTTTTTGTCATTGGGAAGACAATGTTCTAGGCAGTGCCTCTATGTCTGCAGTCCAGAACTGACCTCTCCTACTTGTCTTCTGCTCTACAGATATTGTGAAGCACCCCAGCCCACCCCAGAATGGAGGTTGAGAAAGACAGGAAGGGGGATTGCAGTTTGCATGTGAACTCTTCCCTTTATTAGCATAAAAAGTCCAGCAGAAAGTGGCCACCAGGGCACCAGCAGTTGTGTACCCAGAACCTTCTCCCTACTTGACCTGGATGCTAATTGGTTCATTTGCAAGGAAAGGCAGATCTGAAAAGGTAACAATACTGGAAATAATAGCAATAATGTAATGTGATTTAGGTTAGGTTTAGCAGGCGCAGTACTCATTCTTTTCTATGCAAAATTTTACTTTCGCCATTCTACAGTTGAGGCCATTCTACAGTTGAGGCTTGGTGGCTTGCAGAGATCACAGAGCTACCAAGAACTAGGGCCAGGATTCTAGCTTCAATCTGTTTGGATTCCAAAGCCTGTGGTCTTTGTACAATATCATGCTCTCTCATCTAGTCAGAACAGCAAGTTACATTATCAGAAGAGTCCCTGAATATAGACCCAAGAAAATACATGAAAGCTTTCTAACCACTTTCAGGGTATTTCTGTGTAGACATTAGGACCAGCATTTAAAATTAGAGAGCTGGAGAATTCATCTGCACTAGCTCACAACTCAGCCTACATGCATTGCCATGGGGTACAACTGCAATTTATCTTGTATTTTAAAATATTTAGATAATTAAGTAGCCTGATGTGTCTTCATTACTTTTATAAGGCATTCCAAATTTAGTTCCCAAACCGTGGATCCTACTGGGTTCCTGCTGCTGCACTCCAGGCATTGGGTAAATTATACATAATCTGAATCTGATGGCCAATGAAAACTGGAAAAAAAAAATCAGTTTGAGGGCAAGGACTCATAAGCAATAAAGGACTTCACAGTAAACCATCCCATCCCATTTGTATGGAGAGCACTCTTAAAGAATATAGCAGGAGCTGATGAGGCACATTGTATGTAATTGGATCCAGTGTCTGTGAGACAAGCTCCAGCATTTTCACAGAGAAGATCAAATGAAGGGAAAGAATTCTAAAACACCAGAATCTGGCAAACCAAACACATTCAGAGGGAAATCAGCCCATGCTTAATGAAAAAAACTTTACAATGTAAATTAATGTTCACCTAAGAGAAATTATGAGTGACAATACAGACAATGTACATTTATATTCACATCAAAAGGTGAATGAAAAGAAATTTTGTGAACAAACAGCAAAAATGAATTGCTTGGTGAAGGGGAACTAAGGAGATGAAGGGATTGGAAAACCAGACTGTGGAAAATCACTTCTCAAAGTAGAAAACAAAAGCCCAACTTGGAACTGGAAATCCATCTCCAGAGCAGAGGTAGACGCTCATTTTAACATTTGGGGCTGTGCCCAAGAAATGCTGAGATACACACTTTCAAACTTTCTATCTCTAGATCCTTTTGCACTCTCATGATACTGAGGGCTTCACCTCACTTGAGTTATAAATTAAAACTTTACTCACTTAAAACTCATTGGATATTAACATTAAAAACATTTTTATAAAAATAACACTTTTCTAAAAACAAAATGTAAAGATTTCTATAAATTTCTTTACCATCTAGCTCAATAAAAAGTAGCTGGATTCTTCTATCTGCCTTTGCATGCAATCTGCTGTTACATGTCATTTTAGCTCAAGTACTCAAACAAAATCTGACCTTACACACACATGAAGATGGAAGACTGAGTGAGTATTTTAAAACAGCTTTTTCATATAATTGCAGGTATTCTTGATATGATACCCAATCCTAAGTGGTGGTTGTTTAAATGTTTTATGCAACATAAAATCTGAAACCACAGTAATGAACTACTGTTACACTAAAATCCACTGGTCTATCTAGCATTTTGAACAGCTGTTTTATCCACATATAATTTTGTAGCAAATGCACAGGTCATTTGGAAAATATTAGTTCAATGAACTACACAAAACTTCCAAAGGTTGACACATTTCATGATGTCATCTATTTATTAAAAAAAAATGTTCATTAAGCACCCTCAGAAAAGTCACCTGGATTAGGAAAGTGCGAAGCTCATATGGTTTCGACACAAGCTTTCCAAGATTTTAACTTCTACTTGAAAGCTTCCATTTTATCATTGTCAATAAATACTACCAGTTGCTATCCTGTAGTGAGAGGCTCACTTCATTCATTTTGAGAAGGCCTCCATCAAACACCCAAATCTGAATGACCCTTGTGTCAGGGGTACCCTGGTGCAGTGATAAATGCACCACAAAAGAACAGTCAGTGCAGCTCACAGTGCAAGTGCCACTCAGGTGCTTTCCTGAAAAAAAAACATGGTTGTTTTTACTGGAGTAACTAGTGAAGAATCTGACTGCTGGCATAGCATGGTGCCACTGCTTGGTTTGTACTGACAGTAGCTGTACTCAGGATGTGTTTGTCCCATCCATGTGGACAGTGAAAATGGCAAACAATGTCTTATTATTATGTAAATAACAACCTGTGGGCTAGGTGAAAGGGCCTCAAGAGGGAGGGGTCCATGGACCACACATTGGGAAGCACTGTTCTGTAGTGACACCCAGAATGCAGCTGAGACTCCCTGTCTCATTTCTAGGATTATAATCACCTACAGTGGTTACTGGCCTTCCAATTTTAAAGTCACTCAACATTAAGTATCTTTGAACTACAAACCCAATAGGTCTGACAATTCTGTTGAGATTCGGGGGCCCATCCACACATTACACTGCCAGGTTTCCTGCATGGCCAACGCCCAGCATACTTACCCCATGCTGCACTGGGGACCTCTTTGCACAGTCCTTCCCTTGGCTTCCACCTGCCCAAGGGCCAGGTCTTGGCCGGAGCTCTTGAATGATTCCCTCGGGCATCTGAACAGTTACATACTGGGACAGGTTTTGCACACAGTTGCAGCAGTGTTCCAGCGCTTGTTCCTTGGACTCCCCACCAAACTGTATGCGAAACATGCGGCTCTTATTCTGTTTGACAAATCAAAAGTTATCCTGAGAGACCCTTGTCGTATCACTTGATCATGTTTTTTTTTTTTTTTTCTAGGTATCAGGGATTGAACCCAGGGGTGCTGAATCACTGAGCCACATCCCCAGTCCTTTTTTATATTTTATTTAGAGACAGGGTCTCCTGAGTTGCTCAGGGCCTTGCTAAGTTGCTGAGGCTGGCTTTGAACTCATAATCCTCCTGCCTCATTCTCCCAAGATGCTAGGATTTCAGGCGTACACCACTGCACCCCACCTTGAGTTTGATTTATTGTAGGGTCTTCTAGTGAGTGGGTTCCCTTTGCCTGGAAAGGGCAGAGCAGCACATGTGGAAGCATTAATCCTTGCTTGTTAGTGGAGGTACAGAGAAATCAAAAATTTGTTTCCTTCTCCCTCTGGAAGTTACTTCTCATACTGAAATTCATTTCCCTTAGGGAACTAATACCAGCAAAAATGGAGAAGTCTGTACATAAAGACAAGAAAGGTCACTATAGTGGCTGCAGTGGAAGATCAATGCTTTGTCTTGCTTTGGAATACAAAATTTAGAGCTTCAAATTCCTTAAATGGAGAATCAGGATAATGCTGTATAATCTGGCTCAACAAAAAAATTTCTGAACTGAAAAAATGAAAGCACAAACCTGGTAGATGCCACATTAAACAAGGCAGTGAATTTAACTAGTACTGGAGAAGAGGGTACAGGCAAATGCTGACAGCAAATGTCATAAATAATCTCTAGTGCCTTTATTCCTTAGGAGGCCAGACCACCACACAAGTCACACAGGGACTGGGGTCTTTAATTTGGTATGAGTTACAACCCTTGGCAAATTAGCAAATAGTTATGTCCCTTTGCTAATTTGCCAAGGGATGTAACTCATACAACAAATTAAAGACCCTAGTCCCTGTGTGAACAGATGCCATTAAAATTTTAGTAAAATCTGCCAACTACAAAGTTATTTGATTGTAAGTTTAAAAAACAGACCCAAACTGTAACATAACACAGAATCATTAGTTTAATAGTAGTATCCTCTTTCTAGTCTAATATTCTGCCTAGTGTAGATGAGTCAACTTGGATAAAAGCTACCCCAAACAGGACTGTATTTGTTAAGTTTCTTCTGTAAAGAAATGCAGGTGTCAATATCAACATAGTGACAGTCCTTTTCACTTAGTGAATATATAAACCACATTGCTACTACGAAAACATTTCTAATTAAGCCACTGAAATCCTGAAAGTTTCTATCAGCAAATAGTCCCTGATTTTCCTATTCACAATTTATACTATTTCAGTACATTCATCAAGGGGCTAGGGGTGTAGCTTAGTGGTGTAGAATTGCCTAACATGAAGAGATCCTAGATTCAATTCCCAGGACTTCACAAATAATTTAAAAATCCATTAAGCAAAGCCATGTGTTTAGGTTCTGGGGCACTTGGCATGACTCAGAAATGGTAAGGTGTCACAGAAGAATAGATGTCCCTACCCCTTTTTATTGATAATGTTGGCTTCTTTTGGAAAGTTTGAATTTTTTTCCTTGCATGTAAAAGTAATCTATTATCATTACCCCCTTTGATACTGAAAAAACTATGAAAAAAGAAATATTCTCATATGCATGCACATGTTTTATATAAATATAATAACAAAATTGTACATAAATATGTGAAAATATATAATACATAATATATAGGTTATATATATTGTGTACGTATATTTTAAGCCACACTGCTGTTCTGTAACCTAATTTTTTATTTAACAATAAGTATGTAAAAATAGAAGTGTACCTCATTACTTTGAAAGGCTGAAGAGTATTTCTTTATTTAACTGGCCCCCTACTGACAAACATTTAGGTTATTTCCACCCTTTTTTCCTATTATAAACCAAAAGCTTTGAGTTAAGCACACTTATACATACATCTTTGTATATAAATGCCTAAAAGCAGACTTGCTGGGTCACAGAATATGTGTATTTCATAGTTTGGTACATAATGCCACACTGCCCTGTAGCAAGAGAGGATCAATTTATTCCCACTAAAAGTATATACCCATTTCCCTGAACCCTCCAACACTGGAGATTCTTATTCCTTTTAACTTTAACCAACATGGATGATAAAAATTTTGTTTCTTTGATTACAAGTGAGGTTGAATTATCCTCTTCCCCCCCCCTCCCCTCCCCCTCCCTCTCCTCCCTCCCTCTCTGGTTTTGGGGATTAAACCCAGGGACACTCTACCACTTTTTTGTTTTTTATTTTGACTGAGTTGCTGAAGCTGGCCTTGAACTTTCCATCTTTCTGCCTTAGCCTCCCAAATAACTGGGATTATAGGCGTGAGCCACCATGCCCAATGAGGCTGAACATTTTTCTTACACTTACTGGTCATTCGTATTTTTTTCTTTTGTGTATTGCCTGTTCAATACCCTTAGCCAGTTTTCTCTTGGATGAATAATCCCCAAATTATGAAGAGTAATTAAAAGCTAACTTTCCCTGAGGAAGGGAAAAGAACTGATAAGAGAATTATACTTTCAGCTTGTAGTAATATCTGTTTGCTTTTATTATTAATATCTATTAGGATTTTATAATTGTCTAATTAACCTTTTGAGTAACAACACATCAAAACTTGTACTTCATAGCCAGCTGAAAAGCTTGTATGCACATGCAGACAGATACTAATTATAAACAGAATAAAAAATCTGAGACCAATTATGTAAGTCTAGAGGCAACTACATGTGAATGCACTAAGAATCAGTTTGGTAGGGCTGGGGTGTAGCTCAGTGGTAGAGCCCTCCTAGCAAGCATGAGGCCCAACACCCTCTACTACCACCACCAAAAAAAAAAAAAAAAGAGAAAGAAAGGAAGCAAGGGAGGGAGGGAGGGAGCAAGATTCCAGGCAGGAAGTATCAGTTTGGATAGTTAAGGTTGCTTTGGAGTGTACTTCCAAAAAGGTAGGAGGTTATATATCTGATGGTCTTGTTCCATGTTTGCTTCTATAAAATTCTCAGAATTTCAGCTTATCTGAAGCCAGAAATACGCCTGTCAATGCATGTGGACCCAAGATTAAAGCCAATGTACATCAGAAAAAAAATCTGAAAACAAGTTATATCTTCATCATACATCCTTAATGTCATGGGGTATCACAATGGATAACCAAAGGACTGCTTGGCTTGAAGAGATGTTTTTTGTAATACTAATACTTAAAAGACAGAAAGAACAATTTGCTTCGAAATGAATTATACCCACAGTCATGAAGTGCCCCAAATTTCCAGTTTCGATTATCTAAGGAGGTCAGCTCATAATTACTGTATTTTAAGTTGTGATTTACATGATAAGTTGTATTCACCCTACTACCAAATACTTAATTTCAAGTTATAAGAACTTATAGAAAATGCCATTTTGCACAGACTTCTTTTTTAATATTTAGTTAGTTGTAGTTGGACACAATATTTTTATTTATTTATTTTTTATGTGGTGCTGAGGATCGAACCCAGGGCCTCACACATGCTAGGCGACCGCTCTACTGCTGAGCCACAACCCTAGCCTTGAGGAAACAAAAGTTAAGGACAAATGCCAATCTCTTTTACACTTAACTACATGTACAAGAAAACCAAGACTTCAATTTAAGGAAGGAGCAAGCCCCTATGTGCTGCTGCAGGCATGCTTTATCTACAGCCTCTGTAGCAGATGGCTGACAGGCATCAGGCACCTGGGATACAGGTAGCACCCAGGTAGCACTACATCACAGAACAGCAAGGGAGATATCAGAGGTCTCAAACTCAGGGGCTTTTCTACTGGTTTCAGATTCATCACCTAGATCTGTAACGTCTCCAGCACCACCAGGATACCCAAATAGAAATTTTCTTCATCACTAATGGTGACTTCCTAAACTACAGAAAATACATGGCAAAGTACCAATAAAGGACTTAACCAGTGCTATGGCTTGGATATGGTTTGAATGAGTCCCCCAAGAGATCATGTGTTGAAATTTAGTCCCCACCACAAGGCATTGAGAGGGTGGACATTCAATCTGACTGCTCTTTAAAGGTGTGTTTTGGGAAGTGATTAGGATTAGATAAATTCATGAGGGCAGAGCCCTAGGATTGAATTCTTTACAAGAAGAGGAAGAGAGGCTAGACAGTGTGTGCTCCCTGGGTCTTGCTATGTAATGCCCTGTGCCATTTCAGGATTCTGACAGCAAGAGGACCATCACCAGATGTGGTCTTAGACCCTCAGAACTGTTAGTTAACTAAAGTAATATAAAATGGACTTAATAAGACCAGAGGATGAACTTGAGTATTTTCTTTACTTTGAAACATATCCTCAAAGCCTAGGACAGACAAAATCATCAAAAAATTCTTCAATGGCCACTAGGGGAGAGAAGTAAAAGAGAACAGTAGCTTAGGTTCACTCCTTTGAGCCCAAAGTGCCCTTCAGATAAAGAATTATATGTCTACCATTAGCTGATAAGCCAGGATCTATTTGCTCAGAATTGCTTAAAAAAAAAAAAAAAAAGCAGCCATAATTTACTCAATCTGTGATTTCAACCTCCCTTAAAAGACATAATTTATTCAAATCTATGAATGCTAATCCAGAGAGAAAAGAAATATAATGTGTATTACCTACAGAATTTAAGTTTTATTAAACTTCTGTTAAAAGAATGAAATTTTGCTTCCAACATCCGTCCATTTTAACAATAGTGTGTGCTACATAATACTTAGTAACTAAAAGTTATCCAAGGCAAAAAGCACCAAAAATACTCCTTGACAGGTAAGGGGAAAAGAAGCATCTGATAATGTTTTTGTTTTGTTTTGTTTTTACAATACCTTTGTTTTATTTATTCATTTTTATGTGGTGCTGAGGACCAAACCCAGGGCCTTGCACGTGCTAGGCAAGTGGTCTACTGCTGAGCCACAACCCCAGCGCCGCCCCTCTCCCCCTGCAGCTGATGGTTTAATATTATTATATGACATCAAGTCAATAGATCAAAGGTAGGAAAAACAATATCATCTTGATAGACTCAAAAAGCATTTGCTAAAATTTAATATGTAATATTGAAAAAGTATTAGCAAATAAACTATTATTGAAAGAACATCTCCCTTACATAGTAAAGAATATACAATCAACAGCTAGAGTTGTACTTAATGTTTAATACTACTTCCTGAAGCCGGGTGCGATAGCACACACCTAAAATCCCAGAGACTTGAGAGGCTGAGGCAGGAGAATCCCAAGTTTAAGGTCAGCTTCAACAACTTAGCAAGACCCCGTCTCAAAAATAAAAAGGGCTGGGGATGTAGCTCAGTGGTAGAGCACCCCTGGGCTCAATATCCAGGATATATATCTTATATATATAACCTCAAAGCCTAGGACAGACAAAATCATCAAAAAATTCTTAAGGTCAGCTTCAACAACTTATGTATGTTTACTTATGTTCTTTATCTCAAAAGATATATATCTTTTTGAGATAAGGAACATAAGCCAAAGGTTACCAACCTTAATTTTTTTTTATACTAGGGATTGAACCCTGGGTGTTTTACCAGTGAGCCACACCTCTAGCCCTTTTTATTCTCTACTTTGATACAGGGTCTCACTAAATTGCTTTGGGCTTTGCTAAGTTGTTGAGGCTGGTCTTGAACGTTCAATCCTCCTGCCTCAGGCTCCAGAGTCTCTAGTTGTTCCCCATTCCAGCCTTAAATATTTTAAAATATCTAAATGTGATATATACTCAACTATATTAAAACATACAGCTATGCAGATTACTCTATATACATAGTATCTAAATACTTTAAGAATTAAAGCAAAAAAAGTAGATGATTCTCAGAAGTACAGATTCTAACAATGTTCACTCTCATTAGGAATCAAAGAAATGCAAATTAAAGGAATATGCTCATTTCTACTTCAAATTAGAATCTAGTTGGTAAATTTAAATTATATCACTGTCTTGGAGAGGATCTGGATAAGTGAATATTCTATACACAGCTAGTGCAGTAGAAACAGGGACAACCTATCTGGAGGGCAAATTTACAAACTAAATGTTCATACTTCTAGGATTTCTATTTCAAGAACCCTCTAAATTTAATGAAAATCAGAACATTTTTAATAGTGAACAATTGGAGATTAGTTAAATCATGGTGTATTCAAAGAGTAATATGCTACACAGCTATTATGAATGTTTTTAAAGACTACATAATAATTTGATATAATGCCCCTGATTTAATGCTATATGACACAATAGCAGAATATTACAATCTTATATGAATTATGTATATGGCAGACACTGTTAATTGCCACAAGTCAATCCAAAGGAGAGACTGGAAAAACTAAACACTAGTCTTTGCAGTCTATGACAGACACATAGCAGACATCTAGGGGTTGCTGGAGGGAGAGAACCTTATAGGAGATGCTGACCTTTCTCAAATGGAAATATAATAGAGCTGCCACTGACATTTTACAACTGTGAGGAACAGGCCGAGAGAGAGACATTGAGCTTGACACTGCTGAGCTGCTAAACCAATGCTGGAAATGGCCTATTTTAAATTTATTTATTTATTTATTTATAGTACTAGGAATTGAACCCAGAGGTGCTCTACCTGTGAGTTACATCTCATGCCTCTTTAATTTTTCATTTTGAAAACAGGACCTCACTAAGTTGCTAAGGCTGACCTCAACCATAGGATCCTGCAGCCTCAGCTTCCTGAGTAGCTGGTATTACAGGCATGTGCCACCATATCTGGCTTTGATTTCTTATTAAGTGAAAAAAAGAACTATGTGTGTGTGTGGGGGGGTCATTATGGCTGAGTTTTCTGTTACATTCATCTGAACATAGTCCTAATGTATGCCTAGTCAAAATTCTAAAATGTTAATAATGGTTACTTTTGAGGAGTCACATTACAGTTGGTTTTTACTTTGCACTTTATACTTTACTAAAATTTTTTAATAATCTGGACACAGAGTCATACACCTGAAATCCCAGCAGCTTGGGATACTGAGGCAAGAGGATTGTAAGTTCAAAGCCAGCTTCAGCAATTTAACAAAACCCCGTCACAAAATAAAATATAAAAAAGCACTGGGGATGTGGCTCTGGGTTCAATTCCTAGTACAAAAAAATTTTTTAAATAATAATATGTAATTAGAAAATATTAAAAATCAAATATCAAACAAAGAATATGGGTGACTTTTAAAACACCGAAACATTCATCCAGTCCTAAGCTGAAAGTCGAAGATCAATGGGCAGCTGGTTCCCTGAGAGCTAGTCTTAACCTTGGCTATTGGCTTACATCTAATTCAGTTTCCTCATATGTAAAATTTAGAAAGGGGTTCTTGAACGTTTTGGAATGTGTGCCCCAGAACCCTTTGGTAGTCTGGTGAGACAGTGAATCTTTCTCAGAACAATGCTTTTAATCAGATAAAAGGCAAAGAAAAACAACCAATTATAGTAAATTAGTTTATCACAATATTAAAACACTAATTTGTGAACTGATAGGATATGCTTCTTTATTAACATATTCAATAAAAGGATTTAAAAGTAGAACTAATAACCATCTTAATTTTGAGGTTTGATGAGTATAAATGACATCTGAGATATCTCAAACAACTATAATGTGATATGAAATTACCTGTGATAGCCATTGATGGGAAGGTCTAACACTACTATGCTCTGTAAACTAAATTAAAAAATAGAAGGAAATGATAAATTTCAATTAGAGGTCAGTGAAAATCCCTGCAAGTTCATGGATACCTTGAACTCTATGGGGACCATCTGGAGGTCTGTGCACCCCAGGGTAAGACCCTTCCATTAGATGCACCTGAAGACTTCTTCCTCTTTCAATTCTCAAGGTCTACACATTTGTTAAAAATTAGTATCTTTCACATAAATTTCAATATTATTTACTCAGTGAATGTTAACAGATTGGTTTTTATAGTTATAAAAGAAAATAATCTTTTATAGTTATGAAAGAAAATAATCCAGGTGATTCATTTGCATGTTTCTTTGATGAGGTTCGTTCTTTATGTTTAATACAGCTAGAAGGCAAATAAAGGGGAATTATATTTTTAAATATTAAACAGGGAAAAACTAAAAAGACATATTCAGTGAAGCATTCAACTATATACACCTTTTAAAATATCTAAGGAGCAAGCCAACCCGTGCTGTATGCCATCTCTTCCCGGTTTGTGCTTGGGGGACTGAGAAACGTTGCACAGCTCCACTTGACACATGGTGACAAATCCACCAAAGTCTCCTGGTTTGTGCTTGGGGGACTGAGAAACGTTGCACAGCTCCACTTGACACATGGTGACAAATCCACCAAAGTCTTTCACTTCAGAGATATCCTCCTGCTACCGAGGCTTCTGCCTTTATAAGCCCTAGTTTCATGTTTGGCTCACAATGCAAACCCTTCTTCAACATGTGTGTTCTTCCCAGCACCCATTTTCTACAGAGAGAAGCCCCGTATACCCCACCATTCACACACTGGAGATGAGAAAAGGCTGATCATTAGCTTAAAAATAGTTAGCTACACAGCCCACTTTATCTTGCCTTTATCGTTGTGCCAAACAACAGACAATCCATGCGTCTTACGATCTTCAACCAGTTCTTGCTATCAACGAGTGAAAAGCCTTCCTGCAACAAAGTAATTAGGCAAAATTAGCAACAGAAGCAAAAAGGGACATGAGGAACAATTATGGTATAACTGTTTCCTATTAAAAAGTTGTGTACCAATTTGCAGTTCCACCAGCAATGTATGAGTGTACCTTTTCCCTCACATCATCATCAACATTTACTGGTGCTTGTATTCTTGATAATTGCCATTCTGACTGGAGTGAGATGAAATCTTAGAGTAGTTTTGATTTGCCTAATTGCTAGAGATGTTGAACATTTTTTCATATATTTGTTGATTGATTGTATATTTTCTTCTGTGAAGTGTCTGTTCAGTTCCTTAGTCCATTTATTGATTGGGTCATTTGTTTCTTTGGTGTCAAGTTTTTTGAGTTCTTTGTATATCCTGGAGATTAGTGCTCTATCTGAGGTGCAGGTGGTAAAGATTTTCTACCATTCTGTAGGCTCTCTCTTCACATTACTGATTGCTTCCTTTGCTGAGAAGAAGTTTTTTAGTTTGAATCTATCCCATTTATTGATTCTTGATTTCACTTCTTGTGCTTTAGATCCTAAGCCAACATGGTGAAGATTTGGGCCTACTTTTTCTTCTATTAGATGCAGGGTCTCTGGTCTAGTGCCCAAGTTGTATGAAGCACCCATCCTCAGATGACAACCTGATTTTCCCCAACCAGACTTCAAATGGAACTGACTTCTAAAAGGAAATTCACATCCCCCACGTCGTCTTTGATCCACCTGGAGATTCCTCAGAAAACTTGGAAAGGAACCACCATTGGACCCACCTATCCCATTCCTTGGTTTATACCCAAAGGACTTAAAATCAGCATATTACAGTGATACAGACACATCAATGTTTATAGCAGCTCAACTCACAATAGCTAAACTATAGAACCAACTGAGATGCACTTAAATAGATAAATAAATTTTTAAAAGATATATATATGAATGTCACTCAGATTTAAAGAATGAAGTTATGGCATTTGTCAGTAAATGGATGGAACTGGAGATTATCATATTAGATGAAATAAGTCAATCCCAAAAAACCAAAGGCCAAATGTTTTCTCTGATACGTGGATGCTAATTCACAATAGGGGTCAGGGGGACTAGGGAAGAATACTTACTTTAGATTAGGTAGAGGGGAATGAAAGGAGGGGAGAGAGTATGGGCAGAGGAAGGATACTAGGATGAATCAGACATTATTATGCTATGTACATATATAATTATATGACTGGTGGAATTCTACCTCATGTACAATCAAAAGAATGAAAAATTATACTTCATTTATATATGATGTATCAAAAGTGCATTCTATGGTCATGTATAACTAATTAGAACAGAAAAAGAATTTTAAAGATCTCTCTCTCTCTCACACTCTCTCACACACACACACACACAACACACACAAGTTGTATATCTTTTTGTTTTTTAACTTCCACAGAGTAGAAATGACCCAATAGCACCCATCACTGAGGTGACCTCAACACAAGGCCCTGTGTCCAGCTGCTCTTCTTCATGATCAACATCAGCAGTCAACATTTTTTTTCTCTTTCTTAATCTTTGCATACTGAGAATTAAGAAAATCCCCCACCAGTAAATGTCCATAATCACATTTGCAATAAAATGCATTTATGTGCCGCTAGGATTTGCCAAAATGTGGTTTTTTCTATTCACAAGAAACATGTGTTTCATTATACTAATTTATGAACTTATTTGGCACATCCCTCACAACATAGTGACATTTCTCTTCACAAGAATCTTATTTTCAGATTATTATGAATGGAAAATTTGAAGTTGCTTGTTTCTGGATACTGAATGTTCAGTTCTTCATTTCCATCTGTGAGGTGAGGGGAGGCATAACAAAAAAGGCAGAGAGGGCAGTTGGTCTGCTCCTTAAGGTGAAAAGATGCCTCTCAGCGTCACTAGTTGCTATGTGTGCACGGAGGACCGAGCTAGCTCGCAATAAACACCTCTTTCCTGCTTACATCAATCTTGGTCTCTGGTGGTCTTTTGGGGGTCCGGAATTTGAGCATAACATTGGAGACTCGTCCAGGATCCCCCTTATAAGCCTACCCAGACACCCCAATCGAGAGGTGATGAAAACCTGACCAGTATACAAGTCTGTAAGGTAGAAGCTTTTAAAGAGCAATTATATCAAGCTGGTATTCTAAAGTTGTATGAAGCACCCATCCTCAGATGACAACCTGTTTTTCCCCAACCAGACTTCAAATGGAACTGACTTCTAAAAGGAAATTCACATCCCCCACATTGTCCCCCAGGTCATCGAGCCCCCTCACATTCAATGCCCCCTCTCAGCTCTGAAGTAGCCAGAACGAGCCATCGCCCCTTCTCCTTACAGCAATAAGGAGTTCTTAAAATTAGAGGGGGGAATGAAGTCAGAAATAGACAGTGTAGATAGGTAAATTGAGTCAGATTGGATCTAGGAGGCCAATTTTGAGTGAGTCTGGGAAGCTGAAGACTGTTCCCTGAGGGTTACTGTTTATTAAGATGTAGAGCCTGCCCAAATAGGCCCCCAACTTAGGGAACTATGATTGGTTCCCAAGTTTCCAGACAAAGGGGGGAATGAGAAACCAGCCTCTACCTCAGAGCAAAGCCTGTCCAAGGAAGGGGGTGTGACCCTTGTCCTTGGAAATACCCACAGAGCACTCCTAGGCACATACCCACCCTGCTGAGCTGTTTATCTACAAATAACAGGAGAGATCTGTGGAGCCAGGTGTCTCTGACTCAGTCAGGCTAGGTAAGGACCCATAGCAACCCCCTAGCAACCACCAATCAGCATGAGACAGGGAAAATACCTGGGACGCCAGATGAATCCCCCAGTAGTTTATGGTGGTTGATAACATGTTGGGAAACCATATAGTTCAGCATATACTCCCCTCATGGCCTAAACCAATCAGTTCAAACGAATCCCCCTCTTATACTAACCAATCACCCTTACCAACTTGTACCCGCCAGTGAATGTGCTAATCATGTTTTAGAGTTGTTTTATGTTTTTCCCACAGTGTGTGATGATTTGTTAAGAGATGCTATGATGTATGTGAAGTCCCTGCCTTCCCCAAAGAGTGTATAAAACTACTACAAACCTTGGGTTCAGGGCCTCTTAGTGTCACCAGTTGCTATGTGCGCGCAGAGGACCGAGCTAGCTCACAATAAACACTTCTTTGCTGCTTAAGAAAAAAAAAAAGGTGAAAAGATGAGCTTTTTTTCTGCAGCTTTTTAATAAACTAAGTAGAACAGACTATCTAATGATTATGACAACTCTGAAACTCTAATTATGTGGTCAGTCCTTGGTGAAGCAGCCTACGTGAGAATGTATTTTAGCATATAGTAAAATTAATCCAGAGGCCATTTAATGGGCAGTTATGCAAAAAAAAAATTGCAAGCAAACTGCCTTTTTCTGCTGAAATATGAGTCCACTACAGCCAGGGAGGGCTACTGGAATAATTCAAGAAATTTTTAACTCTTGGAAAATAAAAGAAAATGTTCCTTATCCATTTGAGTCTTCCCCAAATCCCTCTTTCTAAATCTAAGTATGATGAAAGTTGGACCTTGAATAGAAATATACTTCCAGGAAAACAGTTTGGGCTAATTCTTCATTTTCATTTTTTTAAAAAAAGTCAATTCTAAAAGGCAAATTTTAATAAGACTTTTAGCACCAATAGTAGGTATTCTTTACTTTTTCTAAAAACAGAAAAAGAAGCTAGGCAAGGCATCTGCAATTTCTTCTTAAATGCTCTCAGAATTAGTAAGAAATTTATTTTTATATTAACCAAATATAAATAACTATAGTTTCAAATGGTAGTATATGGGGAAACTCACACACATTACTAGAGGATCATTACAAATAGATACAGGACAATTTTTAGTAATATCAAAATTACAAAAACACTAACCTCTGTCCTAGCAACCCCAGTGCTGGGCATTGATTCATTTTACAGATCAACCTGCACACATGTGAAATGATAAATGGACAAGGTTAAGCATTTCTTAACTTATAAAAAAAAAACTGAAAACAACTCAGTGCACATCTAGGTGGAATTGTTAAATTAATTATGGTACTATGTACAATGGAATACTATACAATTATAAAAATAATGAAAGCTCTGTATCAGTGCTCTCCACATACGTAAAATTTTATAGAATCACTTTAAGAAACAAAAGGAAATTGGCTGAATTTTAATATTTTATTTTACCTAATCTATTAAAAATGTTTATTTTACCTTATATTAAAACATTAGTGAGACTACAAAAAAGAAACTTAAATCTTTAAAATTGAGGTGTATATTTTAGAGCATAACACTGTATTACTGAGGGTTAAAGTGAAATGTAGTCCGAACCCTAACAAAACAGTAAAATCAATAAAGTCAGGTTTGAAATGAAGTTTCTACATTGCTTCCACTTTAAGTCTAAATTAAAATGAAATAAAATTTAAAATTCAATTTTTTAGTTGTATCTTCAGTCCCCGAAGTGAGCACATATCAATTGCTCAGTAGCTGGTTACATATGGTTTGTAGTGACCTTCTTAGACAGTGTAGCTCTTAAAAACCAGTCTCAAAACTCCTTTTGTATAAGAAAAGGAGGAAACAGAATGTATATTCTTATTTGCTTGCATTTGCATAGAGAAACAGGAAGGACTGATACACAAGTAACTAAAAGGTGTCTGTAGGGAATGAGAAGAAACAGTGTGGATGGGGCAGGGGTGGGAGTAAGTTTCCACTGTATGCCTTATACCGCTCTGATTTTTATACTCTTATGTATAGGAGAACATTTGTGCAAACAAGATTACCAATATGGCATCTGTATAAGGAAGAGGTAGAAGCAGAACCTAAAAAAAATGATCAGTTTACGGAACTCTACCATCTTTACAACTGTTCTGTAAATCTAAAACTACTTTAAAATTGAAAGTTTATGAAAAGAGAAATGCTTAGCTCTTAGCCCTGCCCTCACCTTGTCCCCTCCTATCTCTAGTCTAATGGGACATCTCTTCT